GTCAGCTGTCAGCTCTGGGAGGACAGTGAGCCCCAGGGTGGCCGAGCTCACCCAGGAGAAGGATGCAGGAAGGATCTGGGGTCGTCCCAATGTGTGGACACCCAGAGGAGGCAACCCGGCCCTGAAAGCTCCAGCCTTTTGAGGTCCCTGGCGTACAGATCACTTGAGTGTAGGGCCAGGGTGTGGGGGCAGGAGGGGCTGAGGTCTGAACACAACAGAGGTGTCACCAGCAAAGTACAGGGGCGTGGAGGAGGGCAAGGGAGTGAGGAACCCTTGTCTGAGTGTGGGATGGCGATGAGTGCAAGTTGGGCAAGATGCGGGGGGAGTCTGGGGCATGGGGTGTGGGAGGTGATGAGGCAGTGGAAGTGAAAGATTGGAGGGCTCGGTGTTAGGGAGACACCACTGGGGCTTTATCGGAGAGGGGGCTGCATAGCCGAGGAGCGGAGTGAGGCAGGGGGAACAGATGACTGAGGATAAGGGCCAGCGCCCCAGGTGAAGCCACACAAAGTGCCCTAAACAGTGGTGGAGGAAGAGACAGAGGGCTGGTGCTGGCGACACCCTCCACTGGGGATTCGTGAGCCCTGAGGAATGGCAGGGACAGGATGTGGGCAGCAGGGGAGGGAGGGCAGGACTGGCCGTGGAGAGTCCTGGGGAGCCAGCCTTGTCACCCCTGCCCCTTTGCCATGCAGAACGCTGGCATGGCCGCCCAGAGGAACCTCTGCCATGCTGGCTGAGGGGCCTCAGACATGGCCTTCCTGAGGTCCTGAGTGAGGGCAGAGCAGCCCCTGCTGCCTCTCAGAGGATAAACGCCCTTTGTGCCCCCCGGGGAGCCGCTGCAGTTCTCTAAGTTTCTGTGCCAACATAGGATCCCCCTCTGTTAGGAATGATCGCTCTCAGGGTTCTGGAAATGCCAGTTCTCCTCTGCTACATAACACTTGCACTGGTCAGTTAAAAAAAAAATAGTATCTAGTATCATGCGTCTACTATAGAGGTGGTCATTAACAGCTGTGTTTACGATACTTAACACTGTACACATTTAAACTAAGACACAGGTATGACACGGTGCAAGGGACAGACTTGCTCCCTCCTGAGATGGGATTTGCCAGATAGGTTTTGTGACCCCGACTTCTATTGACCTTCTCAGAGACATCACCAGGCAGGGCGGTTCCTTGCCAGATGTTTCAGAAGACTCCCGGTAGACCAGCCCCGGGCACATCAGACCAGCCCTCCGTCTGTCCCCAGCTTGCTGAAGGCCAGCCCCCTGACCACTTTTAGAGAGTCCCCTACCTGCTCACTGCTTTTTTGAGGGGGCTACACAAAACATTCATCCTTTATCGCTGCCCCCACCCTGTTTTATCTCTCAGACATAAACCTATTTATAATCCCAGCCGGTTTCTTCCAATTCCTTGAGCCAGCGGTTCCCTGTTGGGTGGTGGCAGTGGGCCGGGAATGTGGCCTGGGGGACAGGAGGGCAGCTGTGATGCTCTGCCTTGCTCTGAGATGCACTGACACAACAATCCGGATGCAGACGGTGTGGGTCGCGGTTGGAGTGAACACACTAGAACAATGGCCCCCAACCTTTTTGGCACCAGGGTCGGGTTTCATGGAAGATAATTTTTCCATGGATGGGGGTGGGGGTGATGGGTGGGGGAGGGTGATAGGTGATGGGTGGGGAAGGGGGGACACAAAGCCCAGGCAGTGATGCCAGGTGATGCCAGCACTGGCCCGATGCTCACCTCCTGCTGTGTGTCTGTCCCTCGGTCCCCCCCCCCCCGCAGCCCAGTACCTAACAGACTGCAGACCAGTACCAGAGGTTGGGGACTTCAGCACTAGAGAACACCCCTCTATGAAAGTGCTGGTGGGGGGTTTATCTGGGCAGGAGGAGGATCAAGCCCTGGGACTTGGACTTCACTTTCTTCACACACAAAGTGGGAGGAATATAATCCCAAAGTTGTTGGGAATTCGCACAAGATCACATTGGTGAAGTATGCTATACCCCTATCCAAATGCCCGGTGAATAGTAACTGCCTGATAAATGGAAAGTGTTATTATTTTTATAGTCAGAAACTGTTAGGTTCAGGAATGATAGACAGGAACCCTGTCCCTGCATTCCCGTATGAATTTTAGAATGCACTTGTCAGTTTCTTCCAACAAGCCAGCTGGAATGTTGCCAGGGATTGCACTGAATCCATAGCTCAATTTGTGAAGTGTGGCCGTCTTAATGATATTAAGCCATCCAATTCGTGAACATGAGGTATCTCTCCATTTATTTAAGTTTTCTGTAATTCTTTCCAATTATGTCTTATAGTTTTCAGTGTACAAGTGTTTCATTTCTTTTGTTAAATTTATTCCTAAATATTTTATTCTTTTTAATTACCAAAACATGGGATTTATATAGTAGAATGAACGTGGGCTTTGGCATCTGGGAAACTCTGTTACTGACCAGGTTTGTAATCTTGGGCAAGATACTGTTTTTCTGAACAACTGTTTTCTCATCCATAAAATGGGCATCATAATTCATTACTGCTGGGTTGACAAGGTGAGCACCTGGGATATTGTGTGTGAAAGTACACAGCACAGTGTCATAAATAATGGTTTTGTTTGTTCCTTCACTAAATCTACAGTAAAACTATTATTTATTCTACATATGATATCTTATCCTGAGGCTAAATCAGAATACCTCCAACAGAGTTGGGAGGGGGGAGTTGTTTGCTTTTGTACTTTAGATATTTAAAATATTTTTTCACTCTTATTTTTTCTTCAGTGATATAATTTTAATCTATTTATTATTAATTTCTATCCCTTCCCCCCAAAAAACTGGTACCTTTGAATTCCTTCAACCTATATCTAGCCTTAGTGAGCTTATTAAAGAGTTATGTATCTTCAAAGTAGCAATAATACAATTTTCTTCATTTAATATCTCATTGCTAGATCATATTTTCTCAGAACCATGGAATTTTCTTAAAATTTCATTCTTCTGTTCTTACATATTTGAAATACCTGAGGTGATTGATGTCCAGGCCTTAGAAATCAAGCAAGTTTATTCTCCTTTTAATTCAGTGGGGCGGGGGGAGTCTTAAATTTTCTTTTATTTATTTTTATTTCAGGATATTACAGGGGTACAAATGCTTTAGTCACATGAATTGCTTTTGTACAGTCTGAGTCAAAGTTTGTCCATCACCCAGTTCATTTGCATTGTACCCATTAGATGCGAATTTACCCATCCCCGCTTCCCCCTTCCAATCTACTTGATTTCTGTTGAGTTTTACTTCCATATGTGCACATGAGTGTTGATCAGTTAGGTCCAATTAATAGTGAGTATGTGTGGTGTTTGTTTTTCCATTCTTGTGATACTTCACTTAGAAGGATGGTCTCCAGTTCCATCCAGGTTGTTACAAAAGGCATTAGTTCACCATTTTTTTTATGACTGAGTAGTACTCCATGGTATATACATACCACATTTTATAAATCCACTCATATATTGATGGACACTTGGACTGTTTCCATATCTTTGTGATTATGAATTATGCTGCTGTAAACATTTGAGTGCAAGTGTCTTTTTTATAAAATGTCTTTTTTTCCCCTTGGGTAAATATCCAGTAGTGGTATTTCTGGATCAAATGGTATTTATACTTTTAGTTCTTTGAAGTGTCTCCATACTGCTTTCCTTAGAGGTTGTACTAGTTTGCAGTCCCACCAACAGTGTATAAGTGCTCCTTTCTCTCCACATCCATTCCAGCATCTGTTGTTTTGGGACTTTTTGATAAAAGCCATTCTTATTGGAGTTAGGTGATATCTGATTGTGGTTTTGATTTGTATTTCCCTGAAGATTAGAAACGTTGAGCATTTTTTCATGTTTATTGACCACTAGTCTATCGTCAGAGCAGTGAGGCAAGAGAAGGAAATCAAGGGCATACAAATGGGGACAGAAGAAGCCAAACTGTCCCTCTTTCCTGTTGATATGATCTTATATCTAGAAAACCCCAAAGATTCTGCCAAGAGATTCCTGGAATTGATAAATACATTTAGCAAAGTCTCAAGTTACAAAATCAATGTATACAAATCAGTAGCATTCCTATATGCCAACAATAGTCAAGCTGAGAATCGAATTGAATTAAAAGGATTAAATACCTTTCATAATAGCAACAAAGAAAATAAAATACCTAGGAATATATTTAAGGAGGTGGAAGACCTCTACAATACACTGAGGAACTGCAATACACTGAGGAAGGAAATCACTGAGGATGTAAACAAAAAGAAAAACATACCATGCTCATGGATTAGCAGAATCAACATTGTTAAAATGTCTGTAATGTCCAAAATGATCTATAGATTCAGTGCAATCCCCATTAAAATACCAATGTCATTTTTTGCAGATCTAGAAAAAATAATTCTACACTTTGTGTGGAACCAGAAAAGACCCTGACTATCCAAAACAACCTTAAGCAAAAAGAACAATTTGGGAGGCATCAATTTACCAGACTTCAAGCTATACTACAAGGCTATAGTAACCAAACATCATGGTACTGGCACAAGAACAGAGACATAGACCAATGGATCAGAACAGAGAACCCAGATATAAAACCATCCTCAATATACATTGGGGGGAAAAAATCCCGATTCAATAAATGGTGCTGGGAGAATTGGACAGCCACATGCAGAAGACTGAAACAGGATCCACACCTCTCACCACTCACAAAAATTAATTCACTATGGATAACAAACTTAAACCTAAGGCATGAAACTAATAATTCTGGAATAAGAGGTTGGAAAAACTCTTATAGATATTGGCCTAGGCAAAGAGTTTATGAAGAAAACCCCAAAGCAATAACAGCAGCAACAAAAATAAGTGAATAGGACCTGATTAAGTTAAAAGCCTTCCGCACAGCCAAGAAAACAATTTACAGAGCGAACAGACAACCTACAGAATGGGAGAAAATATTTGCATGTTATACATCTGATAAAGGGCTAATAACCAGAATCTACAAAGAACTTGGGCAAATCAGCAAGAAAACATCAAACAACCCCATTAGAAAGTGGGCAAAGACATGATCAGTGGGTTTTTTTAAGTCACAAATGAAATTCTTAGATTTCAGAAGAATAGTAAGGGACTGACCCCTGCCTGATCTTAAAAGGGACAGGCCCAGTCTACCTGTTTGCACTACAGTGCTCATGCCATGCCAAGGTGGCAGTAAGTATGGATGGTCTCATAAAAGTGGCATTTCTCCTGGAACGTTGGGTCTCTGCCCAAAGTTAAACACATACAGGGGCTTTTAAACCACACTAGGGCCATTGCTATTAAAAAGAAAAACCAGGAGCTAGTGAAAATGTCAATGACGGGGCTGAAAGGAGAGTTAGCTGATGGGCCCCATGAGTATGTGAGGACCAGACACTGTTCTGGTTTTCTTTGTGATCAGTGGGTTCCCTTCTGCCAGAGCTAGATGGAAAATGATGGCTAGATACTAACAGGGAACAGCTTTCTTGACTTGGATTGTCCAAATTTCTGATCTTACACTGAAGTCTCAATACACGCTCTCATACAGTGTAGACCTTGGCATCATCAGCTTGAGGCACTCACTAGTTTTTTAAATAAACAAACTCTCTCAGCCCTCCACGGCGGCTTCATATCACAGCCTAAACCTCAAAGAGGCATCCAGCCCATTGGTGGACTCTTCAGAACAAAAACAAAGCAATATGCTTATTCAGGTATGAATGACACAAAAACCTGTACACAGTTGATGTACACAACTTGATGAGTTTGCAGGTAAGTGTACAGCCCTGAAACCATCATTACAATCTATGCCATAAACCTGTTCATCACTTCTAAGAGCTTCCTCCTGCTCTCTTTACTAGTATTATTTGTAGTAGGAACACTTAGCATAAGATCTGGTCTCCTAGCAAATTGTTAAGTACACAATACAGTATTGTGACCCTATTCACTGTGCTGCACAGTAGAGCTCTAGGATTTATTCATTTTCTACAGCCAAAACTTTGTGCCCTTTGGCCAACATGTCCCCATTCCCCCTGCCCCTGTGAACCAGCATTTTTACTCTCTGTTCCTTTGAGTTTTACTATTTTAGATGCCTCATATCATGTACGTAGTATTTATCCTTCTGTGTCTGACTTATTTCATGTAGCATAATGTCCTCCAGGTTCATCCATGTCACAAATGACAGGGCTTCCCTTTTCTTAAGGTTGACCAGTATTCTAAAGTGTATAGGTACCACATTTTCTTTCCTCATTCATTCATCAGTGGGCCCTTGGGCTGCTTCCATGTCTTGGCTTTTGTGAATACTGCTGCAGTGAACGCAGACGTGCAGGTATCTCTTTAAGATTCTGACTCATTTCCTTTGGAAAGAGACCCAGAAGTGGGATTGTTGGGCCATATGGTAGTTCTGTTTTTAATTTTTTGAGGGCCTGTTTTCCCCAGGGGCGGCACCCATCAGTGGACTATTGACAGGCATTAGTGTCACCTGTTTAAGGTGAGCTGCCAGTTTTTCCTGATCCAGTTTCACCATGAGTGGTCAGAAGAGGAATAGGAAATGAGGTTTTCTGTTGTGTCACTCTCACAGCTGGTGGCACGCTGTTATCTTAGGCGGTCATTGGTTCATATTCCCCACTGCCCACCTCTGCCACCCAGGCAAGGCTGCACCGCATGCTGTCTCTAAATGACAGTTAGGATGTCTGCCCGTGAATGCGGGAGAACGGCCAATATGTGCCGACGTGCAGTAGCATATGAACATTTATAGCACTTAATGTTGATTAGAAGCGACATGTAAGGGCTGGGTCAGGACCAGATTTACCAGCTTTGCAGAGAATTCTAACTGTGCACACATCACTTCTCCATGCCTTGTCCAAGCAGAGGTTGTTTGCTGGTGGGAGAGAAAGCAAAGAGTGACGATTCTCCCATCATTTAAAAATTCTGTAAAGCACAATGACAATCGTTATGAATAGTTGATATAAATATATGAAAAGGTGATTCCTGATTATCATCCAAGGGAGTGGGGATAATAGATGCCCCATAAACCATGCCATTAATTTTAATGATTCTGAGCAAAGCATGTTTCCAGTATAAACAGCATAATCACTCTCTCTCTGTGCCTCCTCACCCCAGATTTAGTGGGAGTGAAATGGCCCAAAGGTGGGCACCAGGGAGGGGAATCCACAGAAGGCCAGCCAGCCCTTTACCTTGTGGGTTTGCCGCCAAGACTCGGGAGGCAGTTTCTGTACATCTCTGCCGACAAAAGCATCCCCAGCCCTCGAGGTAACATTTGATTTGCTCATTTATATCTCACAAATGGCATTTAGGATGATGCCAAATGTGACTGTAATGTTTCTTTAAAAGTGAGCACATACAACTGGCAGATGTCATTGATAGGAAATGGCAGAAAAAAAATAGAAATACCCTATATGCTGTAAAGAAAGGCTGGAGTACTTTTTTTTTTTTTTTTTTTTATCAAGTACTGTTTTTATCCTTTTTCCTTGAGTTTCCACTGAATATTTGGCTGTTTGGGCATTTTAGTATCAACTTAGAGAGTCTGATGTTTCTAGCTGGCAAACAAAAGCAGATTGTTTTCTTCTTTTTGCCTCTATCTTAATTCAAGTGACATGCGCCATGCCTGCTATAGATCATAAAACCAGAATGCACTGCTGTGTCCAGACACCGCTGCACCCTTCTTTGGACTTCACTTCCATGTCTGGAAGTCTACAAACTGCAAGTTAAAGCTTAGCTTTTAAAATGATGACCCCACCAGCTGTATCTATGGGAACATCAGCACCCTGCCCTACCAGGAGGACGCTCCGAATGTGGGATTTATACTCGGAAGCCTGTGCTGTGGAAGATCTGTTTCCCGTAAAGCAAAATAAATTGCAGGCAGGATCTTATGCCAGCAAGGTGTGCACATGACTCCAGGGGAGCCCTAAGGGACAGTTTTCTAATTAGCAAAGAAACATTGAAACAGAAGTGGGTGCCTTTCCAACTCTACCAAATGAACACTTAAAAAACAAAGAAATGAAAGAAATGAGGTCTCCTCAAGCTAATAACCATGCTAAAATAATTTGAAGCTCTTAGGAAAAGAAATCTATCTACCTGCCTATATAGATAGCATATTTACATATTTTATCTATTTATGGATATTGTAAAGTTTATGTTGTACTTTATATATATAATATGTACTTTGCTTTGAATATTGTACTTCTATAAATAATGTATTAAAGCTCTTGAAAATGCTATTCCATCGGGACCCAAATGTTGTGTCTGCGATTCTGTATACTTGGTGTCGTCCTTCGAGCTCTAGCCCTAGTCACGGCTGAGATACCACGTGTGAGCTGCTTCTGAGCAGCAGGGGCTCATGAAGACCTGGCCACCAATTTACTGGACTCTGTTTATCACCCTCCAGTTCATTTTGGGTCCTAAGCTATGCTGTGGAGCGGAGACTGGGGACAGAGGCTCCGAGGCCACACTGGCTGGGTTCTAATTCCAGCTCTACCACTCCGGAGCTGTTTGAGCACCAGCAAGGTACTTCACCCCTCTGCACCTCCATTCCCTCCTCTGAACATGGTGGTGATAACAACAGTGTCCTCTCTACAGGAGTGTCGTGGCATATTTAATGGTGAGGTGCTTGGTCCAGGTGCCTCGGATATTATCCATCCATCACTCAATAGGCTGTATCTTATGCAGTTAAAGAAGAATCCATTCATGCTGTCTCTGCCTGGAGAGTTTTGTGCACTAGAGCAAATAAGGCCTGTGCCCCAGGTGTACCTTCAGGGCACTCGCCTCTGCAAGCCCAAAGCTTCTTTCAGCTGACACCTGTCACTTTCCACCTGGGGATTCTTTTCCAGCAGTGGGAGGCTGCTCAGCTCACACTAGAGCAATCTGCAAGGGCTGGAGAGTGAATGTCCCCCAAACAGCCCATGACCAGTGATGGGCGGGGAGTGGGTGGACAATGCCCAACTCCCGCCACTGCTGGGTGGGACATCTCTGCGTGCTTGTTCTGCACAATCTCCCAGGCTTCCCCACGGGATGGCGCCCCAGCTGCCTGCAGCTGAAACAGGCTTAATAAACGCACACACTTTCTTGCCTTCCTTCTCTTTCCCGCCTTGCTCACCGCTACCTGTCTGGTGCTTTCTGGAACCAACTTCCAAATAAACTATTTACACTCAAATGCTCATCTCGGGGCCAGCTTCTGGGAAGCCTTGTAAACCACCCTGGACATTGGAATTGTAGCCTTGTTGAAATGGTAGCCCCTGCTGTGTCGTCTGCTCCTCTCCTAGTCGCTGAGTGCATTCTGTCCAGGACACGTGGTGAGCAGGGATCGATGTGACACACGCAGAGGCAGCCTCACTTGGGAAGCGTCTTTGCTTGTGCAGCGGTGCTATGGCTCTGTTCACAGAGCCTCCTGGCCTCTTCTGGATGGATCATGTCCTGCATGTAGATGGGGACAGAAGCTCTCAGAATCCTCAGGAATGAGTCCCCTGCAGATGCTGCTGGCAAACAGTGAGTGTGAAACCACCATTTATTTGACCCCAGCAGCTACTTTAGTGACTTGTAAGAGTTAGCATCATTCCATGGGTGTCACATCCAAATCTTTCTTAAGAACATGCTGACTTGCTTGTCCATGTGGAACGCACGTCCGCCGAGTGCATTGCCATTGGCTTCTGGTTAGGAAGGTGTGAAGTCTGTGTGGCTGTCATCTCCATTTCATCCAATAAAATACAAAGTCACTGGAGTGAGATAGGAGTTCCAGCAGCTGCGTTATAACTGTCATCAGATATGTGCCTCTGATGTGTTTGGAAAGCACATTCTAGGGAGTTTTGTCTTGGCATTTATATTTATTCTACTTTCAACTCTGATAAGTGGAGATCTTCACTGGATATGAGCTTTGACAAAATTATGTGCAGTGATCATCGAAGATGTCATAGCGTCAAGCCTGTCACACCTGCTTCCAAGTTTCCAGAAGCCCTTCCAGGGGATGCATGAATGCTCACATTCACGCTAAGGGTCTCAGTGCTTTGTGGTCTTCAGCTAACCCGTCCGTCACCCTTTCTTCTCAGCTGCTCCTTCCTGAGGGCCATGGAGCAAGCGTGGCTGCTCTTGCCAGGAGAAGGCTCGCTGATGCTGATGGATGGAAGCATAGCTGGGGACAGGTGGCTTCTGCATGTATTTATCACCCAGGGCGTGACAGACACGTGGCAATATGACAAGATTGTTTAACCAACTCACTCTGTGATCCCCCAGCCCCGGACCTCAGACAGTACCGGTCTGTGACCTGTTAGGAGCTGGGCCCCACAGCAGGAGGTGAGCAGTGGGGGACTGAGTGAAGCTGCATCTGTATTTACAGCCGCTCCCCATCGCTCTCATCACCGCCTGAGCCCCGCCTCCTGTCAGATCAGCGGCAGCATTAGATTCTCATAGGAGCTTGAACCCTACTGCATGTGCATGTGCATGTAAACTGCACATGCGAGGGGTCTAGGTGGCGTACTCATGAGAATCTAATGCCTGATGCTCTGAGGCGGAGCTGTGGCGGTGATGCTAGCCTTGAGGAGCACTTGCAAATACAGATTATCATTAGCAGAGAGGTTTGACTGCACCATAAATGTAATGTGCTTGGATCATCCTGAAACCATCTCCCCCAGCCTCCCCAGCAGTAGAAAAATTGTCTTCCATGAAACCAAAAAGGTTGGGGACTGCTGAACTAACTGAATGCACAGGTGATGCTAAAAAGGTGGAAGAAAGCAATTAGGAAAAAATAAGATTACTCCAGG